AAAATTAATTTTGAAAGACTAAAGAATCAGGGAGGAAAAAGCCATGAATTCTATCTGCTGTATTCCCCTAGAGCTGGTGTTCTGCTGTTCTCATTGATCGGTAAACTTGGTCTTGGCTGGCTGTTCTTGCTGATCTTCTGGGGGAGGGGCCTGTTGCCGTGGTTCCCAAATGTCTTTGCCGGAGGCGGAATTGCTCCGCCCTTGCCGGTCTGGGCTAAGTAATCTGGTGGGGTTTGCTCTCAGGAGCTTTTGTTCCCTGCAAGCTTTCCGTACAGCTTTGGAGGCCGAGAGTGAAAATGATGGCCTCCCAATCTCCACCCCAGAGGAGCCGAGAACTCGGGGCTCCGCTCCTCAGTGCACCCCCAGATAAAAGCAGTCAATCACTCCCGTCTCCCCAGTCTTCAGCAGCACTCCGTGCTCACCCAGCCTGTGACCCAGTGTTTCTATCTCTGGCACATGACCCCATTTGGACTCTCCAAACCCAGTAGATCCCTGTGGTGTGCTCCCGTGCCACTCCCCCCAGGGGAGGAAGGGGAATCTCCCCAGATCTGCCACTTGTTGAGTCCCTGCTGGAGGAGCAGTGGCCCGACAGTGCCATGGATCACAGTTTACGGCAACCCCGAGCTGAGAGCCTGCTCCTCGGCTCCATCTCTGCCGCCAGCTTCCCCGCTCCAATACCTGGGAGCTCTGCCGCACTCAGGCACCCCCGGTCTTTCTGTGACCCCGAGGGTCCTGAGACCACACTGTCCCAGTGAGGGTTCCCCCCGCCCCCGCCCCGGTTAGCCACTAGAGCAACATCCCTCAGCGGAGCTGACTTCTAAAAGTTCCAATTTTGTGCTCTGCAGCTCTATCACTTGCTGGTAGCCGGCTGATGGAGGCCCCCTCCCCTGCCATCTATCTTCCCGAATATCGCCTTGGATTCACTTCTCCAAATGTCCTACCTTCCAGAAAGTGGTCGCTTTTCTGTTCAGAGAGTCGCTGCTATTCTTTTCTTCGATCTCCTGTTGAGTTCGTAGGTGTTCAGAATGGTTTGATCCCTATCTAGCTGAATTCCTAGGACCAGATGAAATTTAGGTCTCCTACTCCTTCGCCATCTTGCTCCTCCCCCCTTATTTTATTTTATTTTAAAGATCTTATTTATTTATTTGAGAGAGCAGGAGAGTGAGACAGAACACAAGGTGGGAGAGGAGGGTCAGGGGGAGAAACAGACTCCCCCAACTGATCAGGGACCCTGATGCAGGGCTTGATCCTGGGACTCCAGGATCATGACCTGAGCCAAAGGCAGATGCTTAACTGACTGAGCCACCCAGGCACCCCCAATTCAATCATTTTTAGTAAATTTATAAGAGTTGTGTAACCATTACCATAATTGGATTGTAAAATGTTTTTATCATCCCAAAAAGATCTGTGTGCTGTTTGCAGTCAGTCCTTGCTCACACTCTCACTCAGGCAGTACGTGAAGTGCATTGTATATGTGTAGATTTCCCTTTTCTAGAAATTTGATAGATATGAAATAATGTAATGTATAGTCTTTTGTTTGGTTTCTTTTCCTTAGCATAATGTTTTTGAGGTAAATCTTTGTTGTATTACTGATCAGTAGTTCCTTTTTATTCCTGAATTATATTCCATTATATAGTTCTGCCCCATGTTGTTTATCCATCCCCCAGTTAATAAGTATTTGGACAGTTTTCATTGTTGGGGCTGTTATGATTAATGCAACTATGATGATTCACATGCAAATCCTTCTGTGGATATTTTCATTTCAACTGGAGAAATACATAGTGAGTGGAACTGATGGTTTGTGTGCTAGGTTTATATTTAATAGTTCAAGAAACTGCCAAACTGTTTTCCAAAGTAACTATAACATTTTACATTTTCACCAACAACGTAGGACTGTTGCATTTTCTGTACATCCTTATCAAAACTTGGTATTGTCAGTTGCTTTCATTATACCGATTATTGGGGGTGTATAGTGGTGTTTTACTGTGGTTTTAGTTTGTCCTTGACTAAAGATGTTACAGCATATTTTCATGTGCTTACCAGTTGTTAACATATTTTCTTTGTTAAAATATTCAACTTTTGCAAATTTTTATAACTGGTTGTTTGCCTTCCTAGTATTGAGTACTAAATTGTGAGAGTTTTTTATATGTTTGATAGAAGTCCTTTATCAGATATATAATTTGTAAATATTTTCTCCCAGTGTAGTTATTTTGGAGTGTATTTGGAACGTCTTTTCTTTTTCTTAAAAATGTCTTTTGCGTAGCAAGGTTTTTAAATTATAATGAAGTACAATTTGTGAATTTTTTTCATTTAGTGTTTGTTTTTGATGTCAAACTAAGAAATTTTTACTCAACCTGAAGTCACAAATATTTTGTCCTGTGTTTCCTTAGAGGATTTCTATTGTTTTAGCCTGTATACTTTTGTATATGATCCGTTTTAATTAACTTTTACATATGGTGTGAGGCATGGATCTTAGTTCTTTTTCTTTTTGCATGTGGTTGTCTAAATGTATCAGTACAATTTCTTGAAAAGACTAGACTTTTCTCATTGAGTTATTGGCACCTTTGTCAAGAATTAGTTTACCATAGGGGCACCTGGGTGGCTCAGTCGTTAAGCACCTGCCTTCGGCTCAGGTCATGATCCCAGGGTCCTGGGATGGAGTCCTGCATTGGGCTCCCTGCTCCACGGGAAGCCTGCTTCTCCCTCTCCCACTCCCCCTGCTTGTGTTCCCTCTTTCGCTGTATCTCTCTCTGTCAAATAAATAAAATCTTTTAAAAATAAAAGAATTAGTTTACCATAAATATAAGGGTTTCTTTTTGAACTTTCTATTTCATTGAGATATGTATGGCTATCCTTATGCCAATACCAGACTGTCTGAATTACCATAGTTTATAAATTTTGAAATCTTGTAGTGTAGGTTCTCTATTATCTTTCAAAGGTGCTTGGCTATTAGAGGTTCTTTATATTTCCCCATAAAATTTAGGATTGTTTTGTCATTTTCTACAAGAAAGCCTGCTGGGATTTTACTAGGAATTTTTGTTGAATATGTAGACCAATTTAGGGGAGAAATGCCTTCTTAACAATATTGAGTCTACTATCTCTCCATTTATTTACATCTTTATTTTCTCTCACGGTCCTTTTTTAGTTTTTATTGTACAGGTTTTATACTATTTTTTGAAGATTTTATTTGAGAGAGAGAGAAAGAGTACAATAGTGGGATGAAGGGGCAGAAGGAGAAGCAGACTCCCCACTGAGCAGGGAGCCTCATGTGGGGCTCTATCCCAGGACCCTGAGATCATGACCTGAGCCGAAGGCAGACGCCTAACCAACTGAACCACCCAGGTGCCTTATACTGTGTTGTTAAATTTATTTCTAGGTGTATTGTTTTTCATTCTGTTGTAAATCAAAGTGTTTTATTAGTGTTTTCATTTTCATTCTGCATATAGTATATAGAAATATAATTGACTTTTGTGTATTAGCTGTATCAGTGACCTTCCCAAACCTGCTTATTAGTTTTATAATATATAGTCTTATAATATTTTGTAAGTCACTTTGTGTTTTCTGCATCCAGTTGTCAGATTTTTTCTTAAAGGATCAAATGAATGATCTCAGGACTGTGGCCATGTGCTATCTTTTGCAAGTACAGTTGAACCTTGAACAAAATGTTTTAACCTGCATGGGTACCCTTATATTCCTTTTTTACCCCCAATAAATACAGTACAGTACTATAAATTTATTTTCTCTTATGATTTTCTTAATATTTTCTTTTGTCTAGCTTACTTTATTGTAAGAATACAGTCTATAATACATATAACATACCAAATGTGTTAATCAACTGTTTGTTATCAGTATGTCTTCCAGTCAACAGTAGGTGATTAGTAGTTTAGTTTGGGGGGAGTCAGTAGTTACACACAGCTTTTCGACTGCAGGAGTCAGCACCACTACCCCCCTGTTGTTCAACTCTGACATGAAAGCATTTATTGGCAATATTACATAAATGAATGGGCAGGGGTGTGAATCAGTAGTACTCTATTTACAAATTTACGTGCTCTTT